AAGAATGCAATATGTAAGACCCCATTTTATATATATATATATATATATATATATATATATATATATATATATATATATATATATATATATATATATGTTCTATAGGAGATAAAAACAATCTGTGTATTGGAGATATTTTATTTAAGTTTTATCACCTTTAATCGTAGGATTGCTAGGTTTGAACTTTTCCACCATCATTACGGATACAAAGCATAGTACGAGTTTGAATATCCACAAAAACGTTCTGCAGTTGTGTTTCAGTTATGGTACTGATCACATCAGATTTTCTAGCACGAAGATCATTAAAAAAATGAGCTTTTAATGAGTAAACTACTGTTTTAACATGGACTATTCAGAAAAGTTTGCTCTACAGACTCCACAGTTTCCTGGTTTATTCCCAGTCTTCCAGTTTGTGGCTTGTCATTAACAGAACCAGTCCCTTAAACTTCATCCATCTTGTAATTGAATTTCTGTGCGGCGCTTCCTTCTTGTAATGAGTCGTAAATTTTCTTCTAACCGCTGTTACAGACTTTGACTCAGTTAACCAAAGGACACACTTCACCTTCTCTTCTATTGAAGCCATTCAGTATAGTGTTGGGGCAGATTATCTGGAAAAACAGAGAGGAAAATATTAGATTAAAAAAAATTATATATATATATATATATATATATATATATATATATATATATATATATATATATATATATATATATATATATATATATATATATATATATATATATATATATATATATATATAGTATGTAAGTTTGAAATTTCCTTGCCCAACCACAAAGCTTCGTTAAGAGAAGTACAGAATCTCTTATACAACATCAATGACATCTGTCTAAGTATAAAACCCAATATTCCAACAATAAAACGTCCTGAAGTAAGTACAACATCCCTCAGGTAACGTAAAAGATGTCCTACGTAAACACATAACTCTGTCCAACCCTAAACTTCCCACACAAGTAGTCCCCTGGCATACGTCTTCATGTGCTAAATTCTTAAAATATTCACAGGGTGTTTGTCAAGGAGGTTAGGGCTGGAGATGTAGCTGAGAGAGAGAGAGAGAGAGAGAGAGAGAGAGAGAGAGAGAGAGAGAGTGAAGGAACTCAAGTAATGGCAGATATGAAAATCCTCAGCTGTCGACTGTGAACAGGACAGACAATTTAGTTGGGTTGTATATTTTCATTTGTAGTCTACGTGACCAGTTGTCAAGAAGCAATTATTTAGAAGTGAAAAATATAAAATAGAAAAAATATTTGAATAAAAGTTAGTCTCTAAAATATTGTGGGTGTTTCTCAACTAAAACAAGTCGACTATGAAAGGAAAAGTGAAAATATTTGGATATATATTTTCACTTCTAGTTATCGAAAAATCTATTCCACTATATACAGTATATATATATACATATATATATATATATATATATATATATATATATATAGAGAGAGAGAGAGAGAGAGAGAGAGAGAGAGAGAGAGAGTTTTAGATGCAAAAATCCTACAAATTATTTCATAATCAAAGAATACTCATATTTTAAACAGATTAGATAAATAAAAAAGTAAACATATCATGATCAACTACAATACTGTACACCGCTTCTAAACAATTTTAGAGAACACAATGTTTGGGTTACAAATATGTCCGGGAAAATATACAAATTTCTTCTGATTTGAAAATTGAACCTGTAAGACCTCCACCTGTCGTCATGCTGTAAATGGAGTATTGTACAAAGAATTATACTTTTTCCTCTCGACTGTTTATTCTATCTCATAAAAAATGTATTCAGTTGTAAAAATAAGAGATAATTAGTTCAGGATTTAAATATTCACGGTTTCAATACTTACCATTCTCAAGAGGAAAAAAAAAGATGAGTAAAAACTGTTATTGACTACGAAAAAGATAGACAATTTATTCATGAATTTAAATCTTCACTTCCACTGTACAAATCAATTTAACAGAAAATCAACGATAAAAACAGACAATATTTATTTGAAGATCTAAATATTCACGTCATTAGCATTAACCTGTCTGTCTCACTTATCTCACTCTTTTCCCTCTCACTCCCTCTCATCCCCAGGTCCTTCTCCCCACTCCCTCTCACCCATGCCCCCTCTCACTCCCTTCCTCCCACCCCCTCTCCCCCTACCCGATCCCTTACACCCCCCAACTCTCACCCCCCTCCGCTCCTTCTCACCCCTCCAGCTCCCCCTCAGCCCACTGCCTCTCCTCATCCCAAGAAAAAAATATCGGGAAAAAAGAACACAGAAAAAGTTTAAATTTGGGTTGCAGATTTTCTTCATTGGAATAGTTTAGGTGGGAGAGACGGTGGACTCTGCTGAACTGACGCGGTTTGATGAAGGTAAAATTTCACCAAATTATATAAAGGTATTTCCATAATTGGCAACCGACACTTGCCTTCAGAGCTTTGTAAGTTTATGTTCTTTAGGGAGCGTGACGGTATGTATGTGTGTGTGTGTATGTGTGTGTGTGTGTGTGTGTGTCTGTGTGTGTGTGTGTGTGTGTGTGTGTGTGTGTGTGTGTGTTTACAATTAAAAATATGTAAAGATTAAATTGTGTACTTGGTGTAACTGTGAATGTGTTTTTATTTTCAGAATTCATTTATGCTCTTCTGACGTTTCTCTCTCTGACGCTGTTTTTAATAAAACACACACACACACACACACACACACACACACACACACACACACACACACACACACACAAAGCATCACACCGCATTTCGTCACAATCTTGGTGTTTAATGTTTACAAATGTTTGAGAATTTAACCACCCATAATAAATGTTATTTTTACTTCATTTTTTGTCTTACTAAGATTTTTTTCTCGTGTTTTGTTTATGAGAACAAAACAGTTTTCAGAGTTCTTGCCAGAATTCTTGGTTATTTTAAGAGAAGTATAATAGAACAGAACTCACAATGAATGATTACCTGCGTTCTTAAGGTCTCATCACGTTTGTCAAAGAACCCCTGAAGGCATTATATATTCCCTCAGGTGTCTTGGGAATCACCCTAAAAGCACTCATAAACCAAACCTAGTCTACACCTAGTCTACACCTCTCCTACACCCCCCCCCATACACCTGTTTACAAATTTACCCCCACACCTCATAACACCATTAATCTATACACAAATAAGAAATAACAAATCTTCACACACTTCACCACTACTGCATCCCCATGTTTGTTTATCAATACATCCACACACCTCCCAGCAGGACTACACTTACTCTCGTATATCAATACATCCACACCCCTTACAGCACCACTACACCCCACCTTCGTACACCCACACACCTTACAGCACCACTGCACCTACTCTTGCACACCAATACACCCACACCTTACAGCACCACTACACCCCACCTTGTACACCCACACCCTTACAGCACCACTACCCCACCCTCAAACACCAATACATCCACACACCTCCCAGCAGGACTACACCACTCTTTATATCACACCCACACCCCAGCACCACTACACCCCACTTCACACCCACACACCTTACAGCACCACTGCACCTACTCTCGTACACCAATACACCCACACCTTACAGCACCACTTACACCCCACCTTCTGTACACCCACACCCTTACAGCACCACTACTCCCACCCTCAAACACCAATACATCCACACACCCCAGCAGGACTACACCTACCTCGTATATCAATACACCCACACCTCCCAGCACCACTACACCCCACCTTGTACATCCACACACCTCCCAGCAGGACTACACCTACTCTCGTATATCAATACACCCACACCTTACAGCACCAATACACCCCACCTTCGTACACCCACACACCTTACAGCACCACTACACCTATTCTCGTACACCAATACACCCACACCTCCCAGCACCAATACACCTCACCCTTGTACACCAATACACCCACACACCTCACAGCACCACTACACCTCACCCTTGTACACCAATACACCCACTCACCTCACAGCACCAATACACTCCACACTTATATACAGTAATTCCAAACTTCTCTATAGCCAATACACCTCCACAATACCCATACACCTGATAGGATACACTACAATACCCTCCAGTCATACACAGAAACTGATATACAATTTACATGCATATGATCCCTCTTAGCAACTCAACCCCCCTCTCTCTCCTCTCTCCCTCTCCGCCCCCCTAACTGTCCATATCCCCCCCCTCCACGCTCCCTCTCACAACGATTCCTCCATCTCAGCATCTCAACCCCCACCCCTCTCTCCCTCTCTCCCCAGGCCCACTAACACTTCCCACCACCGCTTGCACCAATGGTAGGAGACTTATCTCGCTTCTCAGTGCATATGAAGATGCTCAAATTGTAGGTAATAATGAACCAACACACAACTATGGCGGGACTCTAGACAAGTGTATTGACTTTAATCTATCATGCACAACTCATAGCTCTGATGTTGTCACTGATCTTATGTCTGATCACAACCAAATCCAAGCTAGTATACATGTAGCCAATGACACCCCCACTGGCGGTAAACTCAAGAGACGGAGACTCACAGATCCAAGCAAGAACATGAAAGCTAGTTCATAGACTTCATCCATGACTGGTACAAGGACTACAAGCCTGACAACTGCCAAAGTCTTCATGATGATCTGATAGGACTTATACATACTTCACCAACAATGCCTCCACCAAAAAAAAAAAAAGGAGAAAACGTGGTCAGCATCATGAGAAAAGGCAACAGCAGTGCTATGACTGAAAAAAAAAACTCAGGGCTAAAGTCAGGAGGGTGGGTAAGGGTTACAAACAAATTAGAACACCTCAAATGCTACAATTTATCAAGCCTCCCTTGCTGCCGCCAGGGAACGTGTAAACGAACTCAGACAAAATGCATGGGAGACATATGTCAATAGCCTGAACCAACACACATCCCTCAGCAAAGCCTGGAAAGACATAAACACAATCAGAGGTAAAAACAGTAGACACGTCTCCCATCCAAACCCTCTGCAAAAGTCGAATGGGCTAATAACAAAGTGGGCTCAAGTCTCTAGCTATGACATGTTACCAACTAGGAATCGAGGACTCCTTGATGCGCCCATAGGGGCGCCACAGCCCCTGGCAGGGTCCTTGTGGGCAGTGGCGCCCCATAGAGGGACCCTGGAGGAGACACTGCCTCTGGAAGGGCCCCTGAAGGCACCACCGCAGTGGTAGAGCCCCTGGGGATGTCGCAGTCCCTGGGAACACCCCTGAAGGCGAGCACGTCCCTGTAAGGAACCCTGGGGTCGCCGTTATCCTTGTGAGGGTCACTTGGCCATGCCAGGCACGGAGGCGCCCCCAGGGCCCTCTCAGGGTCGGTGGTGCCCCCAGGGGACCTGTCAGGGGCGCTTGATCCACCAGGGGCGCTCTTAGGGACAACGGCAATCCTAGGAGCTTTCTCAGGGAAGGCGGCGTTCTCAGGGGCTCCTTCAGAGACAGCCGAGTTTCCATGGGCCTCTCAGGGACGGCAACGCTCCTAGGGACCATAACAGACACGGCGGGGCCCCATGGGACCTGCTAGGGGCGCTGGCGATCCGAGGGGCCCTCACAAGGACAGCGGTGACCCCATTGGTTTTTCCAGGGACGGGGGCGCCAAGAGGTACGTTCCTAGTGACCTTGGCGCTCCCAGAGGCCCTGCCAGCTGAGGTGGCGCCTTCAGGGGCCCTTCCAGAGGCGTGGCTCCCCCCAGGCCTCTTTATGGGGCGCCACTGTTCCCAGGGACCCTGCCAAGGCCTGTGGCTCACAATAGGTCCTCCTAGGGGAGGCGGTGCCCCAAAACAATGCATAGTGGTGTGGTAAATATTGCATTCTTCCAGTAATCTCTTACTTAACTGTGATTGGTGGAATAAGAGGTAACGTCATAAAATTACAGCCAATAGGAAAACAGAGCAATCAATTAGCACAACACCCCAACTTATGTTTTGCTGTTGGATATTTATTCTCCTTTTCATTGTTCAGGTTGCTGTAATACTGAAAATGCGATGGGCGGTGTATTTATTTAACGTCATATCTCCCAGAATTTAAATAGTGAAACGATAATAAATATCCAACAGCAAAGCATAAGTTGGGGTGTTGTGCTGACTGATTGCTCTGTTCTCCTATTGGCTATAATTTGATGACGTTACATCTTGCTCCACCAATTACAGTTTAATAAGGGATTACTGGACTAATGCAAAATGTACGACAAATCTATGAAGTTCTTGGGGCGATGCCGCATGTGGAAGAGCCCCTGGGGGCGCCGTCGCCCATGGTAGAGACCCTGCCACCCCTGGAAAGGCACCCACTGCCACCAGCAGGGCCCATACCAGCGCCACGGGCTAAAGGAGGGCCCATAAGGGCGCCGCAGCCCCTGGCAGGGTCCTTGTGGGCAGTGGCGCCCCAAAGATGTACCTTGGGGGAGACACCACCTCTGAAGATGCCACCGCTGTGGTAGAGCCCCTGGGGACGTCGCCGTCCCTGGAAACACCCCTGAAGGCGCTTCCGTCCCTGTAAGGGACCCTGGGATCGACGTTATCTCTGTGAGAGTCACTTGGCCATGCCAGGAAGGGATGCGCCCCCAGGGCCCTCTCAGGATCGACGGTGCCCCCAGGGGACCTGTCAGGGGCGCTGGATCCACCAGGGGCGCTCTTAGGGACAACGGCAATCCTAGGGGCTTTCTCAGGGAAGGCAGCGTTCGCAGGGGCTCCTCCAGAAACAGCCGAGTTTCCATGGCCCTCTCAGGGACGGCAACGCTCCTATGGACCATAACAGACACGGCGGGGCCCCATGGGACCTGCTAGGGGCGCTGGCGATCCGAGGGGCCCTCACAAGGACAGCGGTGACCCCATTGGTTTTTCCAGGTAAAGGGACACCTCCAGGTACGTTCCTAGGGACCGTGGTGCTCCCAGAGGCCCTCCCAGAGCCCCTGCCAGCGGCGTGGCGCCTTCAGGGGCCCTTCCAGAGGCGGTGGCTCCCCTCAGGCCAATTTAAGCAGCATAATTCAAAATTTCAAAAAAATTCCATATCTCTCCTCCCTCCACGCTCCCCCTCACAACGAGTCCTCCACCTCAGCATCTCAACCCCCACCCCTCTCTCCCTCCCTCTCCACTTCCCCTATCGTCTCTACACCTCCCCTCCCTCCACATCTCCCCTCCTCACAACGACTCCTAGAACCAGTATTACCAAAGACGCATCTCCGACGAAACTCTCTAAACTCTGCACCAATAGACGGTCGTTCGTTCCAAGGCTATAGTCCATTCATCGTCGAAATACCGTCGTTCCAACTTCCGAGGAGACAGATCCACTCCGTCAGTCGACCAGACACGACCTGAAACAATAGATTCATCTCTTGAATTGATGGATTTGCCTCTTGTCCATCGACTTGTCCTCTATCTACAGTATCTATCTATCTATCTATCTATCTATCTATCAATCTATTTATCTGTCTGTCTGTCTGTCTGTCTGTATATCTGTCTGTTTGTCTGTATATCTGTCTGTATGTATGTATGTATGTATGTATGTATGTATGTATGTATGTATGTATGTATGTATGTATGTATGTACTGTATGTATACGGGTACCGAGGAAGATAGACTTATAGATGGAATTATAGACAGACAGACAGTGAGACAGACAGACAGACAGACAGACAGGTATATAATAGATGTAAACTAGCATGATAAAGAGACAGACACACAGATTAAAATATCTAAAATCAAGTAGAAAAAACAGGTGATAATTCGAGTTAATCTGGTTCATACAATGTTTATATAAGATAACATTAAACTATATCATTCTTTCATATATTATTGATCTGTACCTAAATTCTAAGGAAATATTATTGTTCCTGTAGTTTTCTGTGTTTCTACAACTAAAATCTTTAAAGTCAGGCTCATTTTTGACGTTTAACGAGAAATTTGGGGAAAGTGAAAACTACCGTGTTTATATTTGAAGAAAATATATATAAAGGTAATTATAAAAAATGAGGGCACAGTGTAATTGGCCTTTTAAACACTCCAATTGCGTTCATTCATAAGACAACAGCTACTTAAAATAAAGTCTAAGAAAAAGGTACAAACACAAACCTCTTCATTTCTTTATTCACGAAAAGCTTAATTATTCTTTTCACTTTTACACAAGCTCATAATTCTTGGAAACTGACAAATTTTTTCCCCGAAAGTAATTTTATCTTTTCTTTAATAATTTGAAATATAATCCTCTTTACGTCGTCTTTACAAATGTTTCTTTTTATTTGCTCGTGTTTGGAAAGGTATGACAAAGGCGGTATGAGAGGAAAGGGGTTTACCAGGACGACGTTTTAGAAATATCATTCGCTAGGAGATGAGGGAGAGGAGGGCCTTTGATAGATGTATGACGTCCAAAGTTCTTCTGTTTTCCGACAACTATTCCAGGTATTATGACGATATATTTACGATACGATAATCCGTGATATCTATGTGTGTGTGGGGGGGGAATATTCTATACCTGTTATTTGATACCTGTCTTTAAATGTATCTCTTTGCTTAAATCTATGTAATTGTTCCTTTACTTATATCTGTATCTTGTATCTCTACCTGTACCTAAAAGCTGTATATGTACGTACTCCTTTGTATATATAAACCTGTATTAGTACCACTGTCTTTACCTGTACCTGTATCTGTGTCTGTACCTCCAACTATACATGAACCGGTAATTACTGTTTACTTCTCCACATTTACCTATAAACACCTGTACTATTAATTGTATATCTTGAAGTTCATTCCCCAAAGAAAAACATTGAAATACACTAAAACATTAAAATAATCAATAATAATAATAAAAAAATATGTCTTCACCATTAACTGTAATATAAAAGTCTTAGTTCAATATTGATTCATAAACTCAGCCAATTCATTGTGTCTTTATGTGAAAAATAAAATCCCATAGAATCAGAACTTATAATAGGAAATTTCTTTGATGCTGTTCTATTGTCGTAGATCAGAGAGAGAGATGTTACACGGTATTTACTTCTTTTGATGTTGTCTTTACGAGAAATCTTATTCGCTAGGAAGGATTTGTCTTCTTTCCAATCACCCAAAGTAAAAGAAAATATCCACCTACTATTTTATATAATTTTTCTCTATTGTGGTGATTTAAGTCTATTAAAATCATTTTTGAATATAGATGAAATTACCATGTATAAAATAGATATATTCTTCCTCATAATGATAAAGATAAATTACTATAAAAATCGATTTGAAATGAAAGGTTTATGGGAAATGTTTTTGATAGTTTGTGTGCAGCGTTGAGAAATATCACCACACACACACACACACTGTACTGTAAGAGTTATAAAAATGTGTCTGAAGGGATGTTGAAGCGTAAAAAGGACGTCATCCCTTTCATATATTTTCTGAAAGAGTCTCCCTCTCCCTCTACTCTTCACATGGCTGAAGTATAGCAGTGTAGAGAGAGAGAGAGAGAGAGAGAGAGAGAGAGAGAGAGAGAGAGAGATAAACATACTATTCCCATCAGACAAAATTCCTATGCAAAACAAGATAACAAACACAAACACAAACAAACAAACACCTATTCTAATTCCATAAATCCAATAACATTTAATTATTTTCGTCAGTGTTTGTGATTTTCTGAGACACTTTATTTTCCTGATACTACACAATCATGATTAGATTTGCTGCGGATATTGATAGGTATTACATACATCAATCACAATTATATTCAGGAAAATATCGCGTGTCTATCTAGAACATAATGAAAGAGAAAAAAAGGTTTGAATTATTAATGTATATACAGTAAATTGATATACCTTGTGGCCAATTATCTTTAACAGGGAATTATAAAACACTGGAGTAATACAGTGCTAGGAAAATATATCTGAATGTTCTCTCTCTCTCTCTCTCTCTCTCTCTCTCTCTCTCTCAGTATTTCATGCCTAACAACTGAACTAATCCCGTCATCACACACACACACACACACACACACACACACACACACACACCTTCAAATTCAACTTCATGATGATGGCACGACTAAGATTAACATGAAAATATACAGTCACGTATTCATATATGTATATCTAAACACAAACACAAAAGAAAATTAACTCATACCATATACATCAATTATCATACATATACACATACAATAAAATCTACATATATTGTCTCTCATATACATTCATAAATATATACATACACACATATAGTCAAGAATCAATATATAGATCGAATATAATTTTGAAGTTGGTTTTATATCTGGAAGACCCACCAAAGAGAATAAAAGGTGAGACAGGAAGAGATAAGAGGAATGTATCTCTCTCTGGGGATGCTGGCTCTTGGTGTTATTTCTCACTCTGATACACGAAACCCGGAGAGACGGATCAATGAAAGTTGTCTGAGGGTGGAGAGAGAGACAGAGATAACGAGAGGAAGTGAGAGAGAGACAAGGAGGTAATGTTAGAAAAATAAAATTATAAAATGTTAATATTGAGAGAGATAGTATGAGGAAAAGAGAGAGAGAGAGATACCCTGTATGTCTCTATGTGTTTAGTCACCCACATTTGTGATACGCCCTTGTTTTACATAAATCCTTGTATTCATAAATCCTTGTATACATAAATCCTTCTATATGTTAATCTTGTATACCTTACTGACTGGACACATTAATCCCTCGATGAAGTAATCCTTGAATCTTTTTATGCTTTAGGACCGTTTCCACTTGAGAGTAAATTACTGTCGACAGAGCTACTATCAAGTGGACATGGCTCTAAGAGTAACTGTCAGATAGTTTGAGTTTACTATCGGACAGCTACTCACTGCTAGTTTACTATCGTGTGGACACATGGTAGCCCGCAACTGTCACGTCAACTCTCAGCTATGTGAACCAGATTCGCAGCTGACAGTGCTCTCGAGAGGTGAAGCATGGACTTGAATGCAATCTCATCAATATATTAATGGATCTAATTCAAACGTCATGAGTATTCCTTTTCAAAAGTCATGTTCAAGGCCAACAGATGGATATGAGAGATCTTATCTGTTTCCCATGAGTATTTCACTTTCAATTAACTATAGATGGTTATCAGATTATTGGCGATGAATTTACAGCATATTCATTAATGCAACAGGTGTAGGTTATTTGAATTTAAGCATTTGAACATCAATATTAATTATTGGTTTTGGACAGGATGCCTGGGTGTATTTTAGTTGTTTATTTATCTGATGCCCAAAACCGTAGCGTCACCATAACTCGCTCGTGAACTGAAATGGCTTCCCTCATCCGTGTGTGTCTCTTGAAAATTAATGGTCCAACCAATTTCACAAACTCTTCCACCTGAACTGCTGACATACGGGTGAAATTAATGAACTGTTGAGCATCTTCTATCTGTAATTCTTTCACGAGCCTGTTGTTAGCTCCCAGTTCACCTCGTCGTTCCACCCAGTGCTTTATCCAACACCTTCTCCAGCATCAGCATAAATATTCTGTCACGTCCTCTGCCACCCGTTGCTACCGACTGACTGAGAGTTACTATAGAGTGTATCTCTAGTCAGGTGGACACACCACTGAGAGTTCTATCCGACAGCTACTGTCGGGAAGACTCTCCACAGCTGAAGCTCGTCGCTCTCAAGTGGAAACGGGCCTTAAGCTCTGTGTGCAATGATCTTTGCAGGAATCAATAGGTCCCTTGCACTTATACATACACATACAGATTAAACTTAGGGTAACGCAGCATAAGCTTAATAGGCGTGTTATGGTCAGTTGGTTAAAAGTCAGCTGTTCGGACATCTGCTGATCCAACAAAACATTAGAATGTTGATGTTATTGGTGACATACACATCTCGACCAGAGAGAAGTGAACAAAATGAAAACCAAAAATGAATGAAACACAAACTCAGATATGCATGTGTTTGTTTTTTTTTCGTGTTTATAATATTGTCAGTATTTTTACAGTTAAGCTAGACCATCCTCGGCAAGGGAGAGAAAAGTCATACCTCAAAACATCCACAAATGTAAACAAAACAATTCCGGTACTATCTCCTCTTCCTCCTCCTCCTCATCTTCCTCCTCCTTCACCTCCTCTACAAAACAGAAAGACGGAGTTGTATGTGTCTTTAATTAGTCTGGGCGTCTCTCTCTCTCTCTCTCTCTCTCTCTCTCTCTCTCTCTCTCTCTCTCTCTCTCTCTCTCTTAGTAAATAAAGTGTATCTGAATGTCCTAGATGATTTAAATATTATCTAAGACCTACTCTGAGATGCTTAATAAACCTGGAAACTCTATTACTGGTTAATAACCCTTATAGACACTGCACATAAAAACTGTCACTATTCACTTACTTACAGTGTTACTCTCAGTCCTCAGCAGTACAGTACAGCACAGTACATTACATCTCACTGTAGATTACAATGGTAAGAGCTCACTTTTGGATGTGTCACAATTTCAACAACTCCCGGACACAGGCCCCCATATGCCACAGCCACCACTGAATAACCTTCCTCTTTCAGCAGTGCTCCATCTCCTAGGCCCATCAATCATTCTGTTGAATGAAAATAAACATTAATATTTTACTTAAAAAATATTATGATGGATTTGTTTCATAAATGGGAAAATGACTGTGATTATAAACTGAAAATATCATAAGGTGGACGTGACGATAAACTGCTTCACCGTCTGAGCTAACACAGTATTAACATTACTTTTGGGTTAGGTAGGATATAAATTTTGGTGGGTTGGCCCGCAGGAAAAATACCTAAATCGTAATGCGGCCCATGACTGAGGAAAGATTGCCCGTCCCTGCTGTACACCAACCAAATACTCGCCAAATACTCACCACGTACTCGCCGCACACTAGCCAGATACTCGCCAGTACTCGCCACAAACTCATCACGTACTCGCCGCACACCTACAAGATATCCGCCAGACATTAGATACGCATTTGTCACACACCAGCCAAATACTCGCCATATTCTCGCCAGATACTCGCCAGACACACGTATCCACCATCCCGACACAGCAAAAAAAAACAAACAACAACTCTCTGCCCTCGAGATACTGGTTACGCGGTCTTATGAGAGATTGTGTTATGAGAAATGAGAAAACTGGGTTCACTGCAAGATGACAAAGTGAATGATGAGAATGATGAATAATGAGCAACATCCAGAGTGAATGATGAATTATGATCAAGATTACAAAGAAAAGATAATATTTTATGAATGCTACTGAAAGAGTGAGTGAGTGAGTGAGTGAATAGGTGATGAAGAAGCGAGAGTTAATTCTGAACAATGTGGGACGAATGAATGCTGAATGAGTAAGTGCATGGGAATGAAAAGTTGAATGATGAATTATAACTCAGGGAACAAGACAGAGTGAAAAAGAGTTTAGGATTATGCATAAGTGAAGTAGTGAATACAAATGAAGATCTGAAGGCTGAATAATGACTCAGGATGTTGTATCAGTGAGTTTACAAGACTTGAATACAGAATAATGAGTGAAAAATGAGGTCGGGGAACTGACTAGGTCTTTGGTGTTTTAATGAAGAAATGGGAATCGACGGTGGAATTCTTATGAGTTAGATAAAGGTGAGATCCTCTGCCAGGTAAGGAGTGAACGAAAACGAAAGGAGAATCGACCTTAAAATATTGATTTATGAAATTAGTAAGAATAGACAGGTAGATTTAATTGTATTACTATTACTACTATTTTTTTCTCACTATATGGCCTGTAACCTCTCCTTACAGTCATACCCTAGCTGAGTTAGTTAAGCCGCAGTTCTGTTGCCTCATAGTCTATGTCTGCGACTGTTGTTGGCTTAGGGACCGATGTTCTTGTTTCCCTGAGGCATAGCAATGCAGACCTAAATTGAGAGAAGGACAGGCGGCATCTCCATCAGATTGCAACGTAACTTCTGGGCTGACCTGCTTCTGTTCAGATAACACATCGGCCAGTCTGACTTAGAAGCATCTTGCACTTGGTCCCTTCCCTCCAGATGTTGTGAACACCAGAGGAGTGAAACTACCTAGATCCACGTTCTGAATTTTCTCTCTCTCTCTTGTTGTTGTCGTCCCTCTTGTAAGCAGCCTCAAAAGACAGGTTATGGTGAAATATTGTCATGGGCTCGAATATCCCCGCATCCAGAATCCTCGAGCACTGACGTCAATGCCGGCTTCGTTGGATGTGTTGGAAGTCCTGTGATGGAGATTCTCACCGGCCAATGGTAGGAGGGTCGGTTCCACTGTGACGTCGTGACAGAGTCCCTTCAGCATATTTGCTGTGAGATCCCTTACTTCGTCATACCTCATGCATACGAAGCCACCCTTTTTACACACCATGGCGAGGGTAATGTCGTAAGATAAGCCACACACGTATTGAGTGGGCATGCCTTTTACTGGCCTACCATACCTTAGAGCAATGGTCTAACTACTAATACTGCTATTAATACTACTACTGCTGCTACTACTTACTACTACTACTACTACTACTACTACTAATAATAATAATAATAATAACAAAAACAACAACATCACTTAGCCTCATTATTCCACATTTTATGCATGAAGACGAGGCCAGAAAACTCTACATATCTCCGCCATCAACTCCACCAACATTAATTAGTGAGGATGAAAAACGCTGACGCACAGACATAAATCTCTGTTGCTTTTTATCGCCTCAAAGATGACAAGCTCCCAAGTGCCAGGCGTAAGGCAGGGAAACACGGACACGGGCGACGTAGCTTCCGTCATAGCTGGCATTATTTTAGCTGCATTTCACACACACACACACACACACACACACACACACACACACACACACACTCTCTCTCTCTCTCTCTAAGTATTCTGTTAGTGTCTCTGTTATACACGGGTCAAAACGTTCCTGGGTGACATCACAACATTCAAGAGCATCCGTAAACACCTGTCAGTCTGTGTATCTGTCTGTCTCTTATTTGTCTCTATCTGTGTGATTGTTTTTCTCTGTGACTGTGTGTGTGTGTGTGT